CGTATTATCACAATGGTAAGTAGATGTTTTTATTTCCTTTTTTCCACTTTTAGTGCTAGCATTTACAAAATAGATTATTCCCCGATATTCATGCATATATTACTGTACATAATTAATCTCCCCTTCCTACTTATAATTCCTCATTATCCATTTCAGATCAGGGAAAATATTCTTTTCTAAAATATAGTTGACATCTCATTGTCAAGTAATGCATTTACTGCTAATCTAGATATTAATACTTTACGTGGTAGAAATGTTTTTGTCATATTCTATTTTGTATGATTTGAAATCTTCATGTAACATTTTCTATATCTTGTATGCATTTTTGGTTATGATGACATTTTTTCTTGTTCATCTATTAGTATGCTATAGTAAAACATGAAGTGTTTTAGTCATACAGAGTTGTTTTTTCAGGTGAGAAAAGGGCATTCCAAAATTTTCCAGCAAGATATTATTGATGTATTGGATAAACAACTGCTTGAGGGTATGGGTGTCCTTCTGACAGAGGAAGAGCAACAAAAATGTGAACAAAGGGTATGCTTATCTTTAATTTTCTTACTGTGGATCTGACATAGTAGACCATTTTGTATTGAATTTATTTCTGTACAATAGGTATCTTTGGAAAAGAGGAGATTGCTTGCTGTTCATGAAGCTGGGCATGTGGTGCTTGCTCACCTATTTCCTAGGTTTGATTGGCATGCATTTTCACAGCTCCTTCCTGGGGGCAAGGTATGGGCATCATGTAATTGCAATATGCTAAACGATGATATTTGATTATTACTATTATTATTTTGTCTTTACATGAATTAATATTCCAATTAAGTAGGAAACTGCAATATCTGTATTCTATCCTCGAGAAGATATGGTAGACCAAGGTTATACAACATTTGGTTACATGATGATGCAAATGGTAGTGGCTCATGGTGGTCGATGTGCTGAACGTATTGTATTTGGTGATGATATAAGTGATGGAGGAAGCGATGATCTTGAAAAGATAACAAAGGTAACTAAGATATCATTTCAGTATATATTTTTGCTGCCTCAAGCAATTAATAAGTACTACAAATATAAGATATTAGTACTTTGGTCATACAAATTTATCGTTTTAATTATTTTTCTTATTGGTGAAATTTGTTTCCAGATTGCTAGGGAGATGGTTATCAGCCCTCAAAATAAGAAGTTGGGGTTAATCGGTTTAACAAAAAGGGTTGGTTTAATAGATCGACCAGACAGCCCAGATGGAGAGTTGATAAGATATAGAGTAATCCTTCTTTGAAGCTGCAAATATATGTAGGGTTTACCTTTCTCCGTAATGTGATAGTGACTAATTTTTTTCCTTCATTTGTTCTTAGTGGGATGACCCTCATGTAATTCCTGCTGACATGACGCTAGAGGTGTCTGAGCTTTTTACAAGGGAGTTGACTAGGGTAATTCTGTTTTGTTCTCACTCCTTTACTATTTGGCATTTGAAAGGAAGTTTATGCTTATCCAAACTCTTCACTGTAGAATCTAATAAAGGCTTGTGCTTATGAACTGCTGTTTCATGTTAAACAATTGTGACAAAAGTGATGACAATATGAACATGGCATTTTTGTATACATGGTGAATAGAGAACTAGTTGTGAGGGGTCTTTTTGTTTTCATGTTAAATAATCAATAAAGAAATAAATATTATAAAATTGATTAAAATTTTAAATGGTTACTATAATTGTTTTCTGTGAATATACAATGAGTTTTGTTATTTAATTGATATATTGTGACAGTACATTGAAGAAACTGAAGAACTTGCAATGAATGCTTTAAGGAATAATAGGCACATTTTGGACTTGATTGCAAAGGAACTACTGGAGAGGTCAAGGGTGACTGGATTGGTATGCTATGCTCCTATTTCTGTTGTCATTTTCGTTTTACCTTTTTCATTGGAGAGGGAAGTGGTTAAAGTATAATTAACTTGTTTTATGTTTGATATTTCATTGTATTGTATAATGTATTTACACAAAAAATATCTCTGTATCCTCACATGCTTGAAATTGTTCCATAGAGGCTGTGAGGATAGTTTTCTGTCTCAAATTTTCTCCCGTACAAGAGAGCTGTTTGGGCTTAAAATGTGGTTTATACACCTATTATACCTCATGGATTGAATTTAGATAAGTGGGATGGAAATGGACTGGCTGTTTTAATCAGAGTCGATATGATAAAACCCAAGTTTGAGGTGTATTTTTAGGAGACAGAAGAGAAGTATGACACTTGGTCATCAGAATAAGGAGAGATAGTTGGGGTCTTAACTTGCTGCTGACTTGGCAGTAGTGGCGTGGGATTTGCACAAGTTGTTAGAGGGATAGAAAAAGTATAAATAGGTGGTTGTAGGGAGAGGTGGTAGGCAGAAATTATTTGGGAATTGGGCACTCTAATTTGACTTGTTATCTTTCTTATCTTCTGCAATTGCTAATTGTATTCCCAGTTCTGAATCTCGTTGATTTTGGCTGGAACCTTATTAATGCAATTAGAGTTGGTTGTTCTTTCATACATTCCTGGTTCTGAACAATTGGTATTTAGAGCATTTGGTTTTGGTAACTTGACTGGCCTCTACATGCATCACTATGGAGTCTTAAGTTCAAGAGTTTGAGAGGAGAGTTAATGGTAGCTGAATGAGATTAAGCAGTTGCTGAAAGAAAGAAGAAGAACCTGTCAGATTTCATCTTAAAACCAATTAACATTAAGTATAGTTGCCCAACGGATAAGTAAGTTGCGCTCCAAGACTTGAAGCATGCAATGTGGTACTTCCGAACGCTCACTCCACTAATGTCTATCTAACCAAGCTTGCCTACCAGGATAGATAATTATCAGGATGAATAATAGGCTCTGGTATCTTGTCAAATTTTTTCTTAAAGCCAATTGACATTAGTGAAATTGCACTGCAAATATTTATTGAGAAAATGAATCAATACAATAAATAGAGGAGATTTAATATCCTCTAATAATAAATATATTATGCACGAATAAATAAAAACGACCCTACTAAAAGCGTATATCTTCTGCTCTTTGCTGCTTGTGGCCTGACATAATTTTCTTTTCCTTTTCCCCCTTTTATGTAACGTTTTTGTTTTGTTTCTCTTTTTATATATCTTCTATTTTATGATCTGTAGGAAGTTGAAGAAAAATTGAAGGAACATTCTCCCGTAATGTTTGAGGACTTTGCAAAGCCATTCCAAATAAACCCAGATGAGGTACTTTCTTTCCTATTCCCTTTAGCTTAATGTGGTTAAAGTGGGATTGGATATCCTTCAATGTCATATATTGTCGCAATAGCATGCATTCGATGATATAGCAGCATAATTGCAGGACTCTAGCCATTTATTATTATTATTGTTATTGTACAAAAGTAATTTATTGGTTGAGAGGTCGAAAGGTGATCTGCTTATATGGTTAATTATTCTTTCTCACTCTCTACTGCCTTTATCTGTTAATATTAGCTGCCACTATTCACTTTATATTTTTCATTGGTATTTTATCAGCAATTTTTATAAATTCTAATATTTTAGAAATTGAACTTAAGGGCTAATTCGACTCCACTAAATCAATATCTGTTGTGTAAGGTGAGAACTCTCCAAACTTCATAAGATATATTTAAGCTATATCTCTGGCTGGTGTGAAACTAAACACCAACCCTTGAGGCTGCAATTAAGCATTCCTAAATGATTTGCTACTTAGGTAGTCCCTAAAGAGGCTGTAACTAAAGTAATTAAGCATTCCTACTTAGGGATGACTGCAATTAAGACAACTTGCCAACAAGCAAATTGGGAAGCATTGTACAATTTCTTGGCTTATTCTTCCTCTAGAATATTAACTTTTGGAAGTATATATGATTTTCTGGTTGGAATTCCCACCAATAGTTAATTTCAAGTGTTAAAGATCTCACATGGAATAGAGATAAAGTCAATTTATAATGAGTAAATACAAACTTCACCTTGTAAGATAGTTTTTGTGAAGTTGAATTAGACTTAAAATTCATTTTCTAAGAGAAGTTTGTTGATGTTAGAATATTTACTCTATTTATCATTGTTAGAGTATTTATCTTATTTATCATTATTGTATTAGAACTATCCTATTTTGTATCTGAATTTTCTTATATATAGAATGAGAGTGAGAGGTATCTTTCAAGCCCTCTAGAATTATTTTACAGTTTCAATCTCAAGTGTTGAGCCTATTATCCACATATATGTATTCCTACGCTCAGCCCATCCCAGCCTATTACCTCCTATAATTTAAGGTTTTCCATTTCTGGATCAGTTCCTGTAATTTTTTCCTTGCTGTTGTGCTGCTTTTCACTTTCCTCCAAACAATGCAATAATTATAATTTTATCGATGCAGGAGGGACCATTACCGCATAATGATAGAATACGATATCACTTACCTGACTTATATCCTGCTCCTCTCCATAGATGTTGACACACTAAGATATTCCTGTCACAACCTCAGTTGCCACAGTTATAATTGGTGACAGAAATGAGTTTGATGCGGTAACTTCTTTATAGGAACTCAACCGCATGCTACTCATTCATTGGACAAGAAAGGAATCAGGAAGAACACAGTGAAGTAATGAATTGTTTATGATTCTCTACTCATTTTGCTCTTCCATCGGTCGCTCATACATCTAATTTAGTGAATTATTTATGATGGTAAGCCTTGGAGACTTTTCCACAAGTTAGTTAGGGGACTGCTGAAATTCTTTTTTCAGTTTTTTTACGTGTGGATGAGGATGAAGTTTTTATCTCTCAAAATTTGAAGCTGAATTTTGTATGCTTCTGAGTATGATGCTGACTGAGTCTAGTGAACTCAATGGTTTGCAATTTTGTAAAATCTATGCATGGACAAGATATAACATTTCACACACATAAAATTGTTCTGATGATTAGTATGATTGTAGTTTTTAATTCTTACTGTTCGTAGCATTATTTGTTCTTGTTAGAATTTTTGCAAGAATCTTACCAAGTATGTTCTAGTATAAGATATTTATCTTGTTTCCTCGTTATTCTATGTAAGATGTTTTCTTACATAATGAAAACCACTGCACCTCTATAATAATGAAAATGAGTAAAATGCCCTTCACTGCACCACCACTGCTGTTGTTGCTGTCATTGCTGCTAAATCGCTTCTATCACTGCTACTTAATGAGCTTAATTTCTCTTACTAGAATGAACAAATCATATTTCACTTCAGTGTTATGGATATTAATCTTGCTATATTGGAAGACATACATGTTCTCAGTATTGGACGCGTCAAATAGTTTTGGAGTTTGTGAGAGAATGCTCCCAAACAACTAATAAATCTTTTGGTAGGCCATCAATGAATACATTGACTACCATAAAGTTGATGTGCACATATTACCACAACTATATTATTGATGATAAACATTGTAATAAGACTAAGAAAGGCCTTGGGAATGCTGGTGAATAAGAATTTTTTCATACAATTTATTTGGAACTGTTTAACATCTAAGTATAGCCCATTTCAAATATGGGATAAATATGGATATTATTGTTAAAATGAAAGTTGAGTATTATTTTCTTTATGATAGATGATTAACACTTTGAGGTCAATTAATGTTTCTGATTAAATATTATGATTGCAGCATAACTGTATTTGAGTAATGTAAACAAGGATTATCTTGAATTATGTTAGATAAATTATGAACAATGTCATATTAGAAAGAAGTTTACTATGAGGAACATGGAATGGAGTATGACAATTAATTGATGTCCAATTGTCAGGACCCAAATTGGTCATATTTTTAATTATGAAATTATGATTTACCCAATACAAAGAATGCTTGAATATTTTAATGTGCATAATGTTTGTTTATTTGTTCATAAACTTATACAATGTCACATGAGCAAAGTGAAAGAATGTAACCTTTTTATGTCTCGTTTGAGTGGCACATTACTTGTTGATTAAAAAAACTAATAAGTAGATTAATTAATAATAAACGATAAAAAGGTAATTATGTTAATGAGGAATCGTTCCTTAATGATGACTTGATAGGCCTATAAGAAAGAAAGGATTTATATATAAACCACAAACGCAAAAACAATGTCCCTTCTTGACGAATATGTATATTTTTTTACTCTTTATTTATCAAGAAAGAGAGATCAAGAATAGATTTATAGGGTAGTGAAACCTTGTATATCATTATTTAATTGAATCTATAGAGGCATGAAGAACAATCTCTAAAAAAAGAGAGTTAGAGTTATTCATCTAATAGAATCTTTAGGGCTTTAAAGAGTAACTTGTCATGAAAAAAAGATAGGAAAATGTTATTTGGACAACGAAATTTTGACACATTTAACAACGCCACGTGCCAGCTCTGCATTGGATAAATGATTTGAAAATAAAACAGAGAAAGGGTTACGGGGCGAGGGGTATTTTGGGATTTCCAGGTAAAATTTAAAGAATTGGGTTTGGGCGGTTGAGGGTGGGGGGGAAAGAAGTTCGTTCAAACCCTCCATCTTGTGTCGCTCTCCGCTCTGTCGTTCGTCTTCGAAGCTTCCATCTTCCTGTCGTTGTCTCGCTTCTCGCTCTATCATTTTTACTTTGTTGTTAATCTCACTTATAATGACAAAAGTAGTGATTGAAAAATGAACGCAGCATTATATAAGAATTTGAAAGTACGAGACCATTTCAGTAAAATTAATGGTAATTAATGGGAAGGAGTTTGATCAAATCTGAGTGGGATGGGTGTTGGTCATTGATGAAACGCAAGAAGTGTGGAGTGACACGTGATGAGTAGGGGGACGAAGTAGTGCAAGGGATGGAGTCAAGTGTTGAAAAAAATGGTCTGGTAAGGTAAACGATTACCCGAGAAAATGGATTTGTACATAAAGTCCAACACAGGTAGTCAGCCAGGTGAACAGGGTCACCATTGAAAAAAGCTGAGTTTTAGGCAGTTTGGCACCGTTTTAGGCAGTTGTGCACCTGTCTGAGGTTGGTCCCAGGTGTTTCATCAGTGGTGGGAGAGGGTGGTTGGTGATGTGATGTGAGTCCAAGGAGTGTGGGGTGACCCCTCATCAGTTGGAGGAGCAAGCTCTGCAAGGGATTTGTTGACCAAAAACCCCATACAAGTGAATTTAAGGGTCATTACTGGTTGGGAGGTTATGTTTGATGTACCCCAAGAAGTGGGAAGAAGTTCAATTCTTCTGAGGGGACCAAGTTGGACAAGCCGAGCTAATCTGCAGAAAAAAACACTGTCGTAATCGTTTACAGTGCCTCGTAAACGATTACACGAGAGAAATCACTGTTTTGTACAGAAAGTTGAACTAAAGTAGTCATTATAGTGTCCTGGGTGATCATGGCAAAAACTGTTAATTTAAAGCACAAGTCCACTTGTATTACTTGGTGTTGGTGTTTGACTGGTGGTAGAGGGTGGTAGGTTGATGGGAGGGTGACCCCAAGAAGTGGGGAAGAAGCCATTCTTACTGAAGGGACCAAGTTGGACAAGTGCAGACCCAATCTGCAGAAAAACACTATGGTAATCGTTTACAGTGTCCTTGTACGATTACAGTGTCAAAAAAGGTGTAACATGATCTAAGGCATAATTTGAAGGTTCTTTGAGTATAGATTCCAACAAAACAAAATCAACTCATTTAGAGTTCGGTGGAGAAGTTATGAGCAAAGAAAGCAAAGGTTAAAGTTGGCAAAAATATATGAACGCTAACTTGAAAGAATAAACTGTACACCTCAGATGTCCAAAATTACAAATTAGTAGTCATTGGAAAGAGTTTTGAGTCAGTTCTAATGAAAAAAGAATCACATCATTTGGAAGTCAGTGGGAAAAGTTATCAGTAAATAGCCAGCAAGTCAAGTTGACAGCATGTTATCTCACCCAAGTTGCTCATCATAAACATTGTTTTTTTCCTCCATCATGGGGTGCCAAAACATCCTTCCCACCATTGAAACACCAGGACCAGCATAGAAAACTGCAAAAGTGCTAAAACTCAACCTTTGGCCATGTGACCCTGTTCACCTGACGAGTACCTGGTTGGACTTTTGTACAAAATTCCAGTTTTATCTCGGGTAATCGTTTACAGTGTCCTTGTAATCGATTACAGTGTCAAAAAAGGTGTAAACTTGATTTCTAAGGCATAATTTGAAAGGTCTTTGAGTATAGATTCCAACAAAACAAGAATTCAACTCATTTGGAGCGGTGGAGAAAGTTATGAGCAAAAAACAAGCAAAGGTTAGAGTTGGCAAAAATATATGAACGCTAACTGAAAGTATAAACTGTACCACTCGATGTCCAAAATTACAAATTAGTAGTCATTGGAAAGAGTTTGAGTCTAGTTTCTAATAAAAAAGAATCACATATTTGAAAGTCGGTGGGAAAAGTTATCAGTAAAATAGCCAGCAAAGGTCAAAGTGACACCTGTTATTCACCCAAGTGCTCATGTCATAAACATGTTTTTTCCTCCATCTGGGTGCAAAACATCACTTCCCACCACTGAAACACCACGACCAGCCTAAGAAAAGTGCAAAAGTGCTTAAAACTCACCTTTTTGGCCAATGGGACCCCTGTTCACCCTGACTAGTACCTGTGTTGGACTTTCTGTACAAAATCCAGTTTTGTCTCGGTAATCGTTTACAGTGTCTTGTAATCGATTACAGTGTCAAAAAGGTGTAAACTATTTCTAAGGCATAATTTGAAAGGTCTTTGAGTATAGATTCCAACAAACAAGAATCACTCATTTGGAGTTCGGTGGAGAAAGTTATGAGCAAAAGAACAAGCAAAGGTCAGAGTTGGCAAAATATATGAAACGTAACTTGAAGAATAAACTGTACCAACTCATATGTCCAAAAAAATACAAATTAGTAGTCATTGGAAATTTTTGAGTCTAGTTTAATAAAAAAGAATCACATCATTTGGAGGTCGGTGGGAAAAGTTTCAGTAAAATAGCCAGCAAAGGTCAAAGTTGACAGCATGTATCTCACCCAGTTGCTCATGTCATAAATTGTTTTTCCTCCATCATGGGGTGCCAAAACATCACTTCCCACCACTGAAACACCCGACCAGCCTAAGAAAAGTGCAAAAGTGCTTAAAATCACCTTTTTGGCCAATGGTGACCCCTGTTCACCTGACTGAGTACCTGTGTTTGGACTTCTGTACAAAATCCAGTTGTCTCGGTAATGTACAGTGTCATTGTAACGTTACAGTGTCAAAAAAGGTGTAACTTGATTTCTAAGGCATAATTTGAAGGTCTTTGAGTATAGATCCAACAAACAAGAATCAACTCATTTGGAGTTCGGTGGAGAAGTTATGAGCAAAAGAACAAGCAAAGGTCAGAGTTGGCAAAAATATATGAAACGCTAACTTGAAAGAATAAACTGTACCAACTCAAATGTCCAAAAAATACAATAGTAGTATGGAAAGATTTTTGAGGTCTAGTCTATTAAAAAAAGAATAATATTTGGAGGTCGGTGGGAAAGTTATCAGTTAAAATAGCCAGCAAAGGTCAAAGTTGACACATGTTATCTCACCCAAGTTGCTCATCTCATAAACATTGTTTTTTCCTCCATCATGGGTGCCAAAACATCACTTCCCACCACTGAAACACTAGGACCAGCCTAAGAAAAGTGCAAAAGTGCTTAAACTCACCCTTTTTGGCCATGGTGACCCTGTTCACCTGACTGACTACCTGTGTTGGACTTTCTGTAAAAATCCAGTTTTCTTAGGGTAATCGTTTACAAGGATGAGTAAACGATTACCAGACCCTTTTTCAAACCCCTCACTATCCCTGCAGAGTTGCTCCTCAACTGATCAGGGCTCACACCCACACTCCTGGACTCACATCCATCACCAACCACCCAACCATCCCACCACTAAATTGTCCTTCAAATTAACTGGTTTTGACATTGGTCACCATGTTATCCAAAATGACCACTCAAACACC